GTGTATGTCATTCGCTTGATCTTGAAATGGGAAAATGACTCACAGTTTAAGTGAAAAACTTTTCGTACTGTCTGAGAAAGTTTTATTTACTTTATAAATGAGTAATTTGATAGGCATTTATGATCGCAACACGCTGCAAAAGACACGTGTGATACTCCGTGATAAATATGCGACGGGTGCTCCATTTCTGCAGCATAGCGCTTCTCGTGCTACAGATAGCAAGACATTGTCTTTTCGCCTGACTTCTGGCTTAGTTGGTGTCTTTTCAGGAATTCAGTTCAACTTCTTGGGGTATGTTCGCAACCAGTATCGAACAATTCACTGTAACGCATGAATCACCACAATGTTAGTTGCCTAAAGGTAGTCTCTCACGACTGCAATGTATACAGAGCACAAATCTGCAATTAATTTGAATGGAGTTATTGTTGAGATAATTGAATTACAGGTGAATTGAACTATTGCTAAGAGAGTGTTCATGTGATGATATAAACAACTGCATGAGTGTTGTATGCGGTCGGTCGCCTTTTGACCGTTTGCTGATTCGATTGACAAGTTTTGTATTAGGGCAAGCAAGCAACTTGCAAAATACTTAATCTATTCAACAGCCAAATTTATCGTTTCATCTCGCCGATTCCTTAGCGGTCAACAAAACACATTCAAGAGCACTCCAGTCGCTAATGAAAAGCACTCAACAATTGCCTTCAACTATTTTTGTAACAATTTTTTCCCCGAATTCAATAGTTCTTCAATGATCAATACTTATTTTGGTACTGTATAAATTTCTTTCAACAACTCACACGTTAACAATTCATACAGACCGACCATAATCAACACGTCATTCCATCGATGGTTTAGCGATGCAAGTTTAGATATTCGATGGTTTAGAAGCAATTTCACTTAAGTATTCGAGAAGAATATCTGAGCAGTAAGATATCGCCCCTTCAATTTTCAGCGCATTCTTTCGTTTCGATTCCTCAAGTCTCAGTCTACGTTTTCAGCTATCACTCAAATTTCACCTTCTCATTATTATTCGACGATCAAACTTTTTTGTTGTGTGATCACCAATGTGCCATACGTCTTCTGTGATAATTTCGTGAAGGTGATAATTGCTACAATCAAAATTGTCTTGCTTTGCTTTAAAATCATCGTTTCCTAAAGTTTGTTTTACATCGCAGATTTGTTGTCTTACATCGGTCTTAACTCTCATAAGAAAGTATTTGGTGCATTCAGGACCCTCAATTCGTTATTTGCGGTTAAGATTTGTTGCAGAACTGAAGACGTATGGCACCACTTCTAAAGCAAAACGATTCTGTGATCACGAATTGTTATCTTGGATTGTTCTACCCATAATCATTTGCTTACTTCCCAGATAACAATATACTTTAAAGTGCGCAACCGTCCGTGAAACGTCACTAATCGCAGTCGAAATCGCCTTAGAAACGCTTTTCTTGTCAAAGAGACGGTAAGCTGGCGTCTTCATAACACCGGAACCTCTTATGATTTTCTTGATCAACTAACATATTTTTGAGGTTGGTCAAGATTACGTCGTAATGCATTTCTGGTCCCTCTGTAAGCCTAGCACAGAATTTTGCACTCATTTTGTGGGGTTTCATGCTAGATTCTGATTATCAATTTCGCTTAACAGCTCTAATAAAGCAGCAGTTCCGTATTCGTTGTGTTCAAAACGACCAAACAGTTCAGCAATCAGCCATGTTAAAAAGTTTGAGGATAACAGAAAGATGTCCACCATACTTCAGGTTCAGATTCAATTCAGTGATTCAACACCAGCCTTGGTTCACAAGCCTCGTCTCCGCAAGACTTAATTTTAAATTCCTCTCACAATTCGAAGCATTCAAATCTGATCTTGTGGCTATCATAGCGTTACTTCTCAATGGTTGTCCTTCACTGAAGCATTTTTGAAAACTCAATCCGCTGTTCATCACAGCGTCTATAATCATCGCCCATAAGTTAGCAGATGGTTTTAAAAATAATTTTCCAAAAACGTATTTTCATCGAATTCCGTTCAACAGTTCAACAACAACTCCTCATAAATACTCCAGCTGTTAAGGGAGTTCACTCAGAAATATTTAGGACGACCATATGTGCAAATAAGAACGAATGTTCAGCTGAATTAGGCACTGTGATACGATCTTTTCAATGCGACAGCTTGATGTTGTTGTTTTGAATTGTGTGCACAAATATTCAACGTAGAACATTTACAGATTCATTTGCGTAAACCATCTGTTTCAGGTATCAATTCAGCAACATTTCTGCGTGGACAAGACGATATTCGGTAGGCGGTCGTTGGAGAACGTTGGAGGCGGATCGACGATTTGCGATTGGACGGCAAACAACATCCTCGGCAAGAGGACCATGCGAACAGCGATAGTATTTTGCATGAAAGATGCATCAAGCGACGATATATGATGCACATGAAATGCTTTTGTGTGGCTTTGTCTATTACCATTAATAACACTTCATTGTTTTTCTCAATCAACAGATGTCAGTCACTCACCTATAGGAAATCCTCAAAATCTTACCTTAACTAAACATATTCGAGCGATCTTGTCGAATCCTCAAAATCCCACACCTTCTTAAGTCGTTGATTAATCCGCTCTCACAAAAGCACCCCACTGATCTGTTTTCACACCTCTATTACCGTTGTTCGTTTGTTCATCACCATGAGGCCACTAGTGTTGAATGGTTCAATTTGTATGATACCTTACTTATTGTTTATTTGTAACTATCCACGCGCACATATCAGTTCAATAGAGCTGTTCATGGAAATTTTCTCGAGGTGCGTTTTTTAATCTCAAAAGACGAAAGTATGATCAGAATCAAGCCAATGGCAGCGCATTTCACGAGTGTGGAGCCAGAGTTGAAAAATATCGCTTGTGTTCACATTAAAT